ATTACTGAACATTTGGTAACAGTTGCAGAAGGTGTGAACACAAAGTTTGAATTGAAACCAATTTAAACAGCAGCCGCATCACTTTAGGCTTTTGACTAAGTAATTTTTTGGAGTAGGGTAAAGAATACGACATATGAGAATCCAGAGAAAGAGCTACTCAGAGCTAAGTATTGTGAGAAAAACTTACCACAGATGATCACCATGAGAGTACGGGTATCTTCGCCAGTTTTGTTTCTAACCACAAGATGATATGCTCCACTATCACTACGTTTACAATCTTTGATAGATAAAGTTGTACAAGTTGATGAGGTCTTTATGTGTGTCCTATCACTGGGCTCTATCACTTGACCGTTCACATTCCAGATTGCATGAGGTTCAGGGGTACCTTCGATGCTGCACTGTAATGTCAAGGTCTCGCCAACAGATATCGCTGTAACACCAGGGGATTTGACAATTTTAGCAGCAACTGTAACAAAACAATGAATGAAAAAATTAACATATTATCATATATTTTGGGTTATGAATATAAATATTTCATAAATGTAAAAATGTTTTTTGATCTTATAATTACAATGTGCTAAAAGGTACATGTCTGAGTAAACCGTTGATTGAAAGTAACTCGCAAAGACTTGTTCGTAATGGTCGTTACCAAATGATTTCTATAGACAATGAAAGCATGTAATTTGGATTAAATTGATGTGCAAAGTCTCTTCCAAGGTAAATGTTTCATAAACATTTTACAAATTTCTACAAACAATTCAGTGTTGTGAATACATGTAATTCAAACTACCGTAATTAATATTATTAATTATAATAAGATATATTTATTTTTGATGGATCACCAACTCATTCATTTGAAATAATAATTGATAATAATGAGATGGTGTTATTGCAACAACAACACATTTATTTGAGTTGATCAAAATCAAATAAATTTGAGATAATCGATTATTATTTTGGTTTTTAAACAAAAGCAAATCTACAAAAATATTGCTGAAAGGGTGATCCACATATTGCATACACATGTTGCTCATATTTTATGTTTTGGGACTGCCTAAAATGGGTCACTATTATATATAGGTGGTCACAAACACAAGTTTGATTGTACACATAGATACTTACTTTGTTTTGATTCAATCCATAGAGTAGCTGTAGTTGTCGTCATTTGTCCAGTAGTATCAACAGCTTGACATGTATATTCTCCTTCATCAAGTATGCTTGTATGTGAGATTGTAAGAACACAAACACCATCAGCTGTTTGCGTTATCGTCATATTGTCAGAAGTCTTGATTGGTTTCTCATCACACATCCACGTAATAACATGTGCAGCAGGATCTCCAGCAACTTTACAACGTAATGTCGCTGATTCTCCTTCAATGCACTGACATTCTTTGAGTGGTTCGGAAAATTCAGGTCTGTAGAGAATTAAAGATAACATTATAGACGGGGTGAAGAATTTTTATTGCATTACATACATTATTATTGTTTTGATACACTTTAACTACCATATTTGTTCTATTAAAAGCGCATCTCTCAATAGAACCACATATTCTAAAATCACATCAAAACATTACATTTCTGTCTTTTTGTATGAAGTACATGCTCTACTAATAGAGCAAATATGGTAATTTTTGACAAATGGCAAACAGCAAACTTCCTTCAGATTAGACTACAGCAAATTATGAAACTATCATGACAATGGCTAACACTAATTTATAACCACGACATTATCATACCATTTCTTTCCTTCACTCGATGAAGCTATAATTTTAGGGTGAAATGTTTTGAAATTTCACTTCACCATACTTTAGTATCATTTAAAATCTGCTGCTCATTTCGACAAGATGCTGTGATTTTTTTACATGCTTCAAAGACGGGAACAGCACACTGAATCAACAGTTTTATGTTCCATTCAAATGATGTCATTATATATGACCTCTATCATTAAACTTGAACATCATCATAGTTTTATTGTTTGTTTGTTCTTATTACGTTTGTTTATTAATTCTCTGATGATTTAGTTGTGTAATAAAGTTATTATTAATA